GGAATTGACTCGGATTTTATCCGACCAAGGGCTTTTTTTCGGCGATCTTACCCCGTTTGGATCGGTGAGTACTAGTAAAGAATAATAGATAGATATCGTTCCCACGACCGGGACAAGGACTATTAATTTACCAGGATTCTGCCGCTACAATAACAAAAACATCACAAACAGTAACGATATTAGAAAGAATAATAGTTTTCCAACAAATTCAGAACATTAGAGCAGCAAAATTTGTGTAGCAAATGAACTAAAGCAATGAGGGTTAAATATTGGTAACAGTAGCTAGTAACAACAAATGTTGTCCGTCTTGTAGGGACGTTACTTATAACCATATTTACGAACTGGACGAAGGAGTATACACTTGATCTTAATATTGCAGTCGATGGCGTAAAAATTCCGACTGTCAATAACCCTAAGATTTTAGGCGTAACTTTCGATAGTCTCTGCTCCTTCTCTCCACATACGACCACGATTATAGCCAAGGTACAGAGCCGCAAAAAAATCCTCAAGTCGCTAGCCGGCAGCACATGGGGAAAAGACAAAGAAACGTTGTTGGCAACTTACAAGGCTATCGGCCGGCCGGTCTTTAACTACGCAGCACCAATATGGTCGTCAATAACCCTAAGATTTTAGGCGTAACCTTCGATAGTCTCTGCTCCTTCTCTCCACATACGACCACGATTATAGCCAAGGTACAAAGCCGCAAAAAAATCCTCAAGTCGCTAGCCGGCAGCCCATGGGGAAAAGACAAAGAAACGTTGTTGGCAACTTAACTACGCAGCACCAATATGGTCGACTGCAGTGGTACGCAGATGAGGAAACTCCAGACCTGACAGAATACAGCACTCCGAACCACGACGGTAAGCCTCTTAATGTCTCCCATCGAACACCTACATAGTGAGACGCTAATACTCAGTTAAGGAACATAATGAACGCCTCTCCAAGCAGTTCCTGCTAGGATGTTTTCGTAGAAACCATCCTTGCAGCCATCTGCTTGGAGCGGAACCGCCTCCTAGGAGCATCAAGAGGTCATTGCTCGACCACGTCGACGACGTTGAACAGTACGCCGACCGGACCTCAGACGCAACAGACTTTCAACAGGCACTGACCGTCATTTACAGTGGAGCCATCAACACCTTCACCGACTCCCTTCCCGTGAATGGCGTTCTTGGAGGCAAACCACCACCTATTGCAGACAAAGAGCTCGAGTTGCCGCGAGAAACGCTAGTGACCCTAGCGCAACTTTTTTTGGATATTGTATACCTAACGTACATATGTCCTGCATGCAACGAGTTTCCGCATGACACTGGCCACCTCTTTGGATGCCCTACTAACCCCAATCATCTAACACGCTTTTTCCTTTGGTCCGACCCCGTCGAAACAGCACGTTCCCTGATCCTCCCGCCCCCTTACCTCCCAACGGGGATTGATAACTGTTAAAACAACCACACGCGCTATTTATGTTTAAAATAAATATGTTTGTATATATAGCCGTAAAAGATAGACATACACCATCGCGAAGTTTCTATAGACCTTTTCAATGAGTACAATACTTAGTACATTATTTTGATAAATCTCGTAGGGTTCAGCCTGCGTTTGCACTTAAGTGTAAAAAATTTAATTATTTACATCACATTAGAAAACTCAAAAAATAACCAAATTTCGCCACCATTTAATGGCTGTTATTATACATATGTCAATCACTCTAAATATTTAAAAAAAAAAAAACCGTATCGGAATCCGTTGTTTTAAAGATTTAAACATACATAGCGCATAGGATATTTTATACGTTCTTTTAAATTCATGGTAACCAGGTTTTGTAAAGCATATTTTTAAAAAGTAAATTAAGTTTTAGTAAATCATATAATACTAAAAAGATAAACAAAATGGGTTCTATGCATATAAAATATATCCTCTAGTTTCAGCAATATCAAATATAAATATCACAATACTTACTCGGAAACATTCCTAGTTAAATTGTCCAAGAAAAAGAAAGAGGAAATAGGTTTCCCATTATGGGGACTCCACTGATGTAAACAACGAGGCTCCTTGTCGTGCATATAAACTTGATAGAAACGGATGACACCATCAATACTGGCAACGCCTAAAGTTGATCCATCAGGAGAAAGGGCTACCCAACTTACGGTACTCAATTCATCGTAGACTTTAAGATAACCCATCGAAATATCATTTGGATGTATAACGCCCATCTGTATTATTTTTAAATGGAGAAATCTATAAATATATGTTTTATTTACTTTAATATATTAAACTCTTACTCCATATTCCGTTATTATAACATTTATATTAAAACATTGCAACGTCGAACCCCTCGCCCACACAATTAATTGACTATCTTCATCATCTTCACCGGGAACATCAATAAAAGGACACCATGATATTTTGTCAAATTTTGGTGTATAATTTGCCAATGGATCCTCTATTTTGACAACCAAACTGCATTGTAAATTGTCATCGACAAGGTCTATTTTATGTATATATAGAGCATTCATATCAATTGAAGCTAGTATACGTTCTCTTTCTATATGAGCAAATTGTAAATCAAGGACTTCACCGGACATTCCCTTGATGAGAGCTCGCAATACCGTCTGAGCTTTTACAACACGAACCATACCTTCCACACGCGATACTTTGTTATTAACTAAATTTTTTTTTTTTTTTGTATATAAAAAATAAATATATGTTTATATTTATATATATATATTAATTATTTCAAATATGAATACCGTTTATGACATAGGCAATATGTTTTCCGTCCATATGTACCGCTATTAAATGACCAGGATAGTTCTTCAATTCCCACTTGTAATCCACAATGTTCTTTAGTTTGACTTTTGAAGAACCATGGTCATGATTGCCAGGACTGACCACAATATTTACATTTTTTGTTGCGATTTCGTAGCTATATTGAATATCATCCGCTTTAAAATTGCTTTAAGATTGTAGAAAAAATATCATTAAATTTGTTTTCGTTAATGTTTCTGAATTAATTACATGATGCTACAATTGGAAACTGCATCACTTGATATTCCCTCTGACGTAGGATTGTCAGCTTTTTCCCCCATATATTTGGTGCTCATTTTAATTCCCTTGGTCCGACTTATTGAAGGAAGGTATGAATTTGAATAACAACGTCCTCGAAATCGTTGTAAAGAATTCTTTAAAAGCGCAATTATTGTGATCACCGATATTAACATTTACATATAAAAGCGGCGGTTTTTAAATAACACTAGTTGGGATTTTTTTAATATATATAAAAATTATGTCTACAGCTTAATATCAGCTTGAGATTACTGAAAGTTTCATAGACAATGAAGTGGACGCAAGGATTTTTATCAAGGATTCATGTTTTATCCACTTTTCGTTTTTACTTTAAATTTCTTAAGTTGATACTATGTTTTCAATTACAAAACAAGAATTACAAAACAGATTGCCTATACTTTTGAGCCTGTAATCACTATCTAAGTAGATGTTCACAAAAGAAATTTTACCAACGCTAATGGTATTGCCGACAGTTGGGAAAAAAAGTATGAACTATAATAAAAGAAAACGTCAAAAGTAGAATGCAGAGTTGCACTTCATGTTCATGTTTGGTTTACGCTTACTCTACAACACGTCTGGTTAACAGATGTAAAAAATTATATATTAATATAATATATACTAAGTTTTCGGAAATTTTCTTCACAAAATGATCAAGATTAGTGAAATAGAAAATTTAAAAATAATGATATTTACAAGTAAATATTTGTATTCATTAAAAATTTGGCTGTTGGTTGAAACTGATATAAACTTCAAAAACATTTCTCTATAAAATAAGCTATCTTAATAGGCTAAAGCAGTCACATTATTTTTACATACAGATACCTAAATATAGTAGTTGTCGTCAGAAATGTTGCCCCGGTTCAGTAACTGAAATGGAGTAAATATGTATTAGTAACACAAAGACAAAAAAATTAACGAAAAAACTATTTCCTAAGGCTAAATTCGAGGAATTGATGACCTTTATATCTTACAATCAATTGAGAAAATTTCTCCAACATATACTCTAATTGATTTTTATTAATTTAGAAATCAAAATTTGTCTCTTAATTTTAATAAATGATCCATGGCCTTTATTGATTTACATATGTATTACTAATAACATATTAAATTTATGATCTGACTTAAATTGTAATTTTTTTTATATTTAAAGGTTATAATCGTGTATAAACCTTTATAATCAATCACATATATCCAACTGTAAAACAGCTAAATAGCTTTTATATATAGTTCAATTAGTTTACTTACTAAAGTTTAATATGTAATATAAATATTTTATAATTAATATTTTAATGTATTTCCTTCATGGTATAAGAATGATCTATTTGGAATTCGGAATGAATAAGTATACATTTTTGTTATGGTATTAGTTATTTTACTTAGTAAATTATATAACAATTTTAATATATTTAAATAGCATGTCTATGGTGCTTATTTCTTATACCTACACAACTGACAAAACTAAAAGTGAATAGCAATATATATATATACTTGTATACATATATTTACATACCGTCATTTAAAATAAAAAACAATGTATCATCAAAAAAAATTTAAAAATAGCTTTTTTATTTTTTAACTACATCAAATGAAAACTTTTACGCTATATTTTAAGTATCAGTTATCAGATTATAACCCATTTATAACCAAAATTCAATTTTTGTTTCAATACGAGTAGTTTCTGTTTACCATCGCTTCTTCGTTCTCCCGAAATAAAGGTTGGGAGAGCCTATTTTTTTAAATACAGTAAGTTTAAGCTTCGGCCATCATATGCTAGTTATGGCAAGCCATTTCTTATTATAATTTTCCACTCTGTATATAAATTTACTAAAATATTCGAAAAAATACTGCAAACTTAACTGAATATCTCTTAGTCCCATTTTTATATAACATATAGCATAATTGTATATATAACATAATTGTATGTTTTATTTTATTATTGCTGAAATTATAATTATTTTAGAATTATAAAATTTAAAACTTAATGAGAGGGAAATTTAAAATAAATATAACACCAGAGTTTTTCATTCTTTCTAATGAGCTTAAACATTTGAATGTATTCCAGAGTTGCCTGACGCACCAGAAAGATTAGCAGATACTGGTTCAGAAGTGGATGAATTTGTTAGCGCTCCTATTTGTGTTTGCTGATGATTGCAGTTTCTTATTGAAAAGTCGGTTAATGCAATCGCTTCCATTTTAACTCGTAGTTCTTCTTTCCGGGTCTGTACAGAGAGTAATTCATCACTTAAATCGTTGCACAAACGCAACAAGATATTATTTTGCTCGCGAAGGTGCCTCAACACATCACCCATACAGTTATCCTGCCTAAATGACACATGTTTTAAAGTCTCGCTAATAGCATTGATACGTTCTTCATACAAGTCTGCATTTGGTAATGAGTTAACTAATTGTAAATGCTGTGTCGTTACGGCATTACCGATTGCTCCAAATGATTTAGATATTGGAGGGAGCGGCTGACTTTGTTGTATTCTATTATTCAGTTGTATAGGCGATTGTGAACTCCGTGGTGTATTTGGTTTTCTATACACTTCAAACGCAGAAACCCTTTGATTGGACTGTTGCAATGAGACACGTGTTGGGGGCATTGCAATAGTGGATAGTGATGATAATGTTTGCTGCGATTGCGGTAAAGAATACTGTTGTTGATCAGAGTCTGCGTCTTTCTATAAAAATATATAATATATTTAAAATAAAATATTACTTTGTAAAACTAATTTTTCGTACCAAATCATTATTATAAAATTGTGTGAAATCAGCAAAACCAGTAGAGGTCTGTAGATCAAAACTTGCCTGTGCTGTAATCTAAAAAAAAAATTATATGACAATGAAACATCAAACTATTATAAATCTAAATGTATACAGTTAGCAAATGTAATTAATAGTGCATTTAGTTTACCTCTGTCTGTTGATAACCCGATGTAGAAATTTTAAATTTGTTTAAATCCAAACTACTACTCCGGCCATGCCGATGGGGTCGCGGCGGTGGTAATGGAGGAGGATCGTTTTTATTTTGTAATAATTGTTGCTTTTGGCCGCTATTGACTACTTCGATGTCATCTCCGTTACCAGCGGAAAGAACTATGCTCGTAAAAGAATTGCTTGAGATTCCAGAGTTACTGCTTATACATGGCTCCCTTTGGGGTGGTGGAGGTAAGGCTCCAATATTTTTTGTTAATAATTTTTTTGCTTGAGGACGCTGTATAGCTCTTAAATCATTAGCTTGGAGAGACTCCCTATTATGTATTACAATATTTCCTGGGTTATTGTTGTTGGGATTTGATGGCATTGTAGTTGTAGAAGCAGCTGACATTTGTTTAGGACTTGTGTTTTTATTATATGGCAATTCGTGGACGTCCTGATTAACAGTTTCAGTGGCAACTATTGCATTTCCAGAAAGTGTACCTGCTAAATACCATATTTCAGAATTGATCATTATAATGAATTAATTTTTAATATTAAAGTAAAAAAATATACTACCAACTGGGGTGACTCGTAAAGGTACAGGATGCAATATTTGTGGGTCTGACACCACAGCTTGTGCAGTTCGCTGCATATCAAAATTTACTGGTTTGGGACCAGGACTGGATACATTTGATGTTGGAGATTCCGTAAACTTAGTCCATTGAGATGGTGGTATATCCTTATTTATATATAATAATGTAAATAAATTTTAAATAACTTAATCCTTTATTATTATATTTACCGTGGGAGCCCATAAATTTCGATCTTTTGTTTTATCTAAACCTGATTCAACTGTCAAGTTAGGGAGTGTGGTGCTTGACTCAACAATTGGGGAATTAGATATACTGCGATTCTTTACTGGAGGAGCTAACGATGGAGGTGTTAATGATGGCTGATTCCCTTGCCTGGATCCATTACTCGCCTATTAATTTATATAATTAAATATTTTTTGAAAGCATGGTCTTGTTCTTACTTGTGATGATGTTGACAAAGTGCTAATATCCATTCCATTTTTATCGCTAATTATTCGTTTCACAGTACTTGCTTGTGCTGCAATTACCGTATTATCAGTTTTGTCTTCTTCCTCATCATCATTTAAATGTAACAGATCAGCTTCGGGTGGTTCCAGTGTTAATTTGGCACTAAGCCGTGAGCCAAATTGCAGTATAGTTGGATGTAAACAAGATGGTAGTATGGCTGGCAAAGGTATGTTATTACGTCTCAGTACAACTAAATGCATAGCGGCAGTAAATTCAGCCAAACTCAAAGCACCATCACGTGATACGTCGCATAACTGCCAAATATGTTTCAATTCTTCAACTGGTATCCTTGATTTTTCGAAAAAAACCCTGCAAATATTTCTTTCAAAACATATTATCTTCACTTTTAAACTTTGAAATAATTTTACCTCGCTACCTGGCCGGAAATAAAACCCTTATTGTCAAGTTGTACTGATTTAAATTGTTTATAGTAATAATCGCGTTGCTCTGGTGTTATTTGGTATACACTTTCTAAATCATTTTCATCCTCACTACTATGACGATCTGAAGATTCTTCTTCTGTACCCAGTAACTGTCGATGTTCGTCTCCCAACAAACCTTGCCATAATGTTTCTTTTGCCCATTGACGATCTGTCACACTATTTGTTGGAGTGGGACTATCACTGTTTGTACTCCATGCTTCTGGTGAACCCCTGAGACGAAGCTACCGTTCGAAAAAAATGGCAAGTTGTAAAAATATTATTATTATTTTTTAAACTAATCACGGGATTTTCAATGTACAACATTTAATACATTTTACAGGAAATAATTCATAAATTCTTCTTCACCGTACTTATACGATATTTTCGAAAATTAATGTGCAACTATATAGATCTTCCATTCTCATTTAGAATATTTTTTAGTCTTTTGCGCATACGAAACATGATTATGTCTTTCTTTGTTACAAATGTATACGATATTACTTACAGTTTCATGGCCACTGCTTCCACTCTCATCTGCCCGATTGGCGCTATCCCCCTCATTCGACTCATTGTGATCAATTTCAGAATCAGTGCTTACCACGTCTCTGTTTGCTATAGCTTTCTGTAAAGTATTACCTCCACAGGATTCAACCATCCAGTCTTTTTGTTTTTGAGGTAATGAATTTTTCCGCTCAGAGACTGGAGGCGGTGGAATTATGTTTGACTCATTTGTAGACTGGTGTATTCTTGAGCCACTTGCAATAAAATCGGTAGCAATATTACTTGGCGAATCTTTCCAGCTGAAACGTGGTAATGGCAAATGAAGATCTGAAGTAATGATCTCTTGCCTCAGTTGTAATCCTGCTTGAAATGCAGCAATAAGTTTTAAGCACGAATAAAATTGTGCTCGAGACATATGTATAGCTGATGGAGGTATACCGACGAGTGCAGTTATCTAATTAAAAAAAAGGATTTTTTTTTACTTTTAGCAAATAGAAATTAAGAAAGAAAGTATTTTATTTAATTTTAAATACCTCTAAAATTTTATCATTTTGCAAATTCGCTGAACGATACAGTTCCATAGCCTTTAATATTGATATTTTACCAACTTTTTCCACGTCACAACAAAGAAACAAATCGCTAAAGTAGCGCGATTCAGTTTCACTAAGGTGAACTTCCATTATACAATTATCTCCTTATTACTTGCTGCAATTAGTGTAGGATCGCTGCAAACAAAATTTTGAACAATTTTAATTAATTAACTCTTTTTAACTTATCAAATATGTTACCACTCTCGACTACGTCACGATAATTTATCAAAATATCCTTTCTAGTAGTTCTCCTCCCTACTATACTTTTACTTTAAAGGCGTAAATCTTACTTAATACTTGTAAAATAAAAGGATTTTAGATTCTATTAATTTGAGAACAAAGCGAATAGTTTAAAATAACCAATTGTTTTCTTCGTTGGAATTGTGCAAATTATAAATCTTTTTTCTTGTTATATTTTCACACGATGAACTGTCAATTTATGACACTTTTAATAGCAATGAACTTTTTATTACGTCCGTGTTGCCAGATAATGCTAGAGGTATTTTTTTTACATTCACTATCTATTTATTTATGCATATTATCAAAAGCTCAAAATTTTAGTTATTACAAAAAATCTTTCAAGTAGCAAAGCAAATTATTAGTAAAAGAAATATTTAAGAATTTATAAGAAAAGATCCATTTAATATATAAAAATTCCAACAAAGTTATTGCCGTTGCATGACCATTAGATATCAGAGGTATTCGCTTGCTCTCGCAAAACTCTTGCACGGTGCAAGAATTTCACATATTTCTTCTTGGTGCACCGACACAACAACAAACACACGCAGAAAACTATTTGCAATGGCTGTAAAATATGTCAGACCAAAACCCATGTATATTCCCGCGCAATGTCACGCAAAAATATAATTGCAACAGGCATGTATTGCATTGTATAGTTGAAAATACTCCCATTCAGTATGAAGTACATACACATATATTTAATTAGATAAGTAATTTAAAATTAAAAGTAAATTCTAAAAGAGTATATAAGGCTTACAAATTTAAAAATAAAATTAGAATGAAATATTTCTCAT